TAAAATGGGATATTGCGTTTAAAGCTCTTAGTTCTGTGCCTGGCACTTAGTAAGTACTTCATTAATTATCAGCTAATGGCCTATTGTTATTATTATTAGCAGGACCTACAGTTTATTACAATACTTTCCTTAGCAGAGTAAGGTTTGTCAGAATTTCATACAAGATTTCCAGCTTGTTGGTTTTAGTTAAATATATGAATGAGGACAGAGACCTGTTTAAAACTGTGCAGCTGAGCTCCTGGGTTCCCAGTGTTCTTCTCTCTTAGGTCCTTAGAATCGAGGTGTATTTAGTGTAAGAAAGAAGGAGAGGAACAAAGTCTATCTTTCCTTTTTCCTGAGCACAGGCATTTTCAGAATAAGACCAAAATCTATCTCATGAATCACATTTGGGGTTTAGAAAAACTCCCACCAACCCCGCAGCTGTAACCTTGTGATTTCAGTATGTTTTGCCCGAACCTGCGGCATTTTGGCGATTATTTTGCTGCACAAATTCAATGACCTAATTTCCTGGTGAAGCCCAAATGAGGGGTTTGGACAACAAACAGATTAGAAACCTGGCATCTTTACAAAAACAGTTGAAAGACCGAATGAACAAGAGAACTTAAACCAAAGAGAACTTGCTTGTCCCCCCACCCCACCCCGGACACCCCCCTCCCCGGGGCCCCGGAAGTTCTCATCCAGACAGCCGGCAGCCTTTTCCCAATTAGAGCTCATCAGAAAGCCGTCATACAGCCATTAAAGCACAAACAAACTGACCAAATGAAGTTCTCGAGGCTGGTTTCCAGTGCCCTGCTGTGTCCCGCCAGGGAACTGACGACACTGGGATTTCAGGGGCGCCTGGGTGGCTCAGTCGGTTAAGCGTCTGACTCTTGGTTTTGACTCAGGTCATGCTCCCACAGTTCATGAGATCGAGTCCCGCACTGGGCTCTGTGCTGACAATGTGGAGCCTGCTTGGGATTCTGTGTCTCCCTCTCTCTCCCCCTCCCCTGCTCATGCTCTCTCTCTCTCTTTCTCAAAATAAATAAATAAAAATAAATAAATAAATAAACAAAAAATTTTTAATTAAAAATTAAAACATTAAACTTTGCAGCCTTCCTAATGCTCTCTCTCATGTATGTCGCTTTGTGGGGGCACTTAGCACCTTCCCATTCATTCTCTTTAATATTCACGAGGACCTTGTAGAGCACACCTGCTTTCTGTGGGTGGGGTGGGTGGGACTGCCTCAGTTTCTCCACTGCGTAATGCTTCCTCCCACTGCGGGCCTTTGCACCTGCAGTTCCCTCCGCCTCTGCCATCTTTCCTCCCCTCTTCACCCTCCCACCTCCTACTCATTTCCAAAATCGTGGCTTGAAATCTCCCTTCTTCAGCGGAGCCTCCCCTGACCTCCCAGATGAGAGCGGGAGCCTATAACACAGTCCCCTTGTTCCCAAACTTTTCCTTCTCTGCACTTATCACAGCTTGTCATTGTGTTTACGCGTCTGTTTCAGTCCGTCTCCCGTCCTGACATTACACTCCACCAACCAAGCAAGCACGCGTGCCTCATTCATGTCCGAGCACCCAGCACATCACAGAGAACCTGGCACACAGAAGGGCCCCAGTTTGAAGGCATGAACTAGAGAAAGGGTAATTTCCCTCAGTTTATGGGTGAAGGTAAAGGCCCAGAGAAGGAAGGCACTTCTCAAGGTCACAGCGCATCAGCCGAAGTGCTGGTGCTTAAACCCAGGAGTACCGGCTCTCAGCTGACTCTCCCTACTTCCGTGCTGCCTGCAACGAGAGTTTTCTACACCCATCCAGGCAGGGTGTCCAAGGCGATCACAGGCCCGGCTCTCAGTGGGAGCAGGACCCCCTGGTGGCTGCCTCCCCCGAGACACCCACAGCCGGAGTCAGCATGACTGCAGCATTGGATGGCCTGGTCCCCCTCATTGTAGAATCACTCAGCATCCCTGAGGCAGGTCCTTGACTGCCCTGCAATTACTCCCACTCTCCCAGGAGCCACGAGGGTAGGAAGGGAGATAATTAAGGAGGAGGGTGACAGGCCCTTCTTCATCACCCAAAAATATCTCCCACCTCCTGCAGGCATCTCTGTCGGAGGTTTGATTGTGCATTCTCTCGAATGATTACAAAGCTGTTCACCTCATCACTTAACTCTTCCACATTCTGTAAAGTTCTGGCCAGAGGTGGGATTAGAAGATTCTGATACATAAGACTGTGAGTGCCGTGAGGGCAGTCAAGTTGTTGGACCTCAGTGCTACACCTCCAGTTGTTAAGGCAGCACTGGACGCACAGGTGGTGCTCAATAGGTATTTGTTGGATGAATGCATGAACTAAGAGCTTTCCATGTGTCAGGAACTTACTATACCTTATGGGGACCATTACTAGCCCATTTTACAGGCTAGGTAACTGAGGATCAGTGTTAAGAGGCTTGACCAGGGTCAAGAACTTGGGAAGCAGTGGAGTCAAGGTTCAAGGCACCGAATAGGGCAAGGTCAGGATTGAGAATTCAGGCGGGGAGATAAAGATGTTGATGATTCCAGTGACGCGAACGAGAGAACAGTTTCAACGCCAGGATATATATTCTCCAGGAAAGGGGGAGAGGAATACCACATGACAGATTTCCAAACGAAGTGCAAAGTCCAGATTTCCATGGCGGCAGGGCTCAGGAAGGCATCATGCCATTTGCTGAGATTCAGGCAGAACGTCCCAGCACAAGACCCAGGGTCCTGCTGCAGGAAGCACTCGGGGACCCAGGCATCTAGGGATCAGTACCGATGAAAGGGGGAGGTCCAGTCCCTGCAGGGACCTATGCAGCGGGCAGAGCCTGGATCCTGAGGCAAGGTGGGAAGAGCCCTAGGTGGGGCTCATAAGGCCAGTCTGTCCCTACCTTCTCTACCTGTCTCTGGGCCTCACGTTTCCCATCTACACAATGACGTTGTTACTTTACAGTCTAGAGTGACCCTGTGGGATCCTTCCATCTCCAGCCCTCACGTGACTGTACATACAAGTAAGTAGTTGTAAATTCACAGCATCCTAGAAAAGGTCACCTAGTCCAATCCAACACAGGAATTCCTGCTCTGGCAGTCCCGCTAGATGGTACGGGATTCTGCTGAGTGTCTCTGGGCCAGTGGTTCTCAACAGAGAACTGCTCTGCCCCGCAGGCAACACCTGGCAGTGTCTGGGATATGTTTGGATGTCCCAATGGGAAGGAGTACATTATTGGCATCTAGTGGGTAGACGCCAGGGATGCTACTAAATGCCATGCGATGCATAGGACAGTCCCCACACCAAAGACTTCTCTGGCTCGAAATGTCAGTAGTGCTAAGGTTGAGGAGTCCTACTCTAGGCAAAGGCACTCACTACAAATGGAGGGAATTTGTGGCCGTGGGCGCAGAACACGCCTGGTAGGAAGACACACTCTCTGTAGCTGTGTCCCTGGCCTTAGTTCTGCCTTGTGGGGAAATCTGGAGGAAGAGCCCTCTGGGGCTTTTCAAACATCTGGAGATGACTAATCAGCCAGCTATCCAACTAGTCAGCCAACGGTGACCACCTGTACAGCGAGGACCTGTGGGATCAACGTCAAGACCAAAAGCTCTCAGGGAGAAGGTCAAGGACTCTACTCCAAGCTGGGGAAGGCTGGGAAAGAGGGAGGGTGTTAAGTTGTGGGTGGGGTGGGGGCACCTGAGGGCGTGACAGAGTCGGCAGTGACTAACCTGGGCCTAGAATGGCAGGATTTCCAAATGGGGGCATGGAAGACTAGAAGGTTCCAGGAGGAAAGCAAGTAGAGCGACAACCCAGCGTACGTGTTCACTGTCCACCCCTGCCCGCCTCTGAGCCTCACTTCTCCCCTCCATCTACATCCTGGCTACAGCGGCTCCTCCTGGCCTCCCACGCCCGCCATTTCTTTACCCACCTCTGTCCCCTCAGGAGGTATTTCCCAGCCCTCCCCTCTTTGCCCAGTTAACACCCACCCATCCTTTGGATCTCAGCTCCTGGCCCTTCCTCAGGGGGCCCTCCCTGACACGCACCCCAACCGTTAAGTGCTCTCAGAGTCCCAAACATCTCCCCTTCGTAAAGCTTCTCCCTACGGACCATTATTTGAGGGATTACTAACAGCAGCCCCCCACCCAGCACTGGGCTGCAGGGCAGGGAGGCTCGGGCTGCAGTTGGAACTCGCTACAGACCATGGGGCAGAGGCCACACATGGTAGGGTCTCAGGAAATAGCTGTGGAATGGCCGGAGAAGCAATTGCAAGCTGGCTCTGGGCAGCTGAGACGTCGGGCTTGTTGAAGGCTAGAAATAGAAAGGCAGTTTGAGACCTCGGTGAGAGGGTCCTAAATGCTCGGCTAAAGTGTTGGTACCTAAAGTGGTGGGCAGGGAGGGACCCTGAAGACCTCCAGACAGGGCTCTGCAAAGAACACGACGATGCCCTGGGAGGATGGACTGGGCAGGGTACGGAGGACAAAGCAGAGCCTGAGGACGAATCAGAAGCCTTGCGAGGATCCAGGGGCCAGACGGCTGGGCCCCGGGAAGTGGCAGAGGGAAGCTTGTCCCTCTTTGCTTCCATTCCTTTCAGTGTATCCTGAGGGTCCCTGGGAGGACCCAGCCTGGTGTGGCGCTCTGAGCTGTGGCGGGTGGGAGAGGGAGGCGGGGCAGAGGCCGTGATGCTGCCTGCCACACAGGCATCTCTCTGCGGTCCTCTGACCTCTTGGCCTGGCTCAGCTCAACCGCCCACCCCCAGGCAGAGCTGGGGAGTCTGCTCAGAGCAATGCCAGGGCGGCAGGCCAGCTGAGCAGCGGGTGGAGGCGCACGGGGATGGGAGGCAGATTACATGTCACTTCATATTAGCCACACTGGCAACTTTGCCAAACCACCCAGAGAGGGGCGAATTAATTGCAATTTTGAGAACAAGCCAAAGCAAAGAGAACACTGAAATGAAGGAGCCCGTATCTCCTTTATAGACACGGGTGGACAGGAATGCCTTCCGCAAGGTCAGATGCGCTTACCGGTGAGGTACATCTCCTCCCCCTCGGTGAACATCTGGTGGCAGCGTACGCATCTGGCACAGGTTGGGTGGTAGTGCTTCCCTCCTGCCTATGGAAACGAAAAGAAGAAATCAGAGGTCAGGACTGGGGCTGCTGTCCATGGGGCAGGTTGCATCTGAACATTTCCTGCACACATTAATGTTGTTGGGGGCCCTAAGGTTGGTTGGGAATCTACCCAGGGGAGTCCAGAACCATCAAAAAGCCCACCCAGGAAGCTTGGTGATTCCACACCATGGGTCCCTGAAGGCATTTCGGGGGACTTCTCTGGACACCTGCATTTCTATTCTGCCATTGGAAGCACCCTGTAGAAGCCACTGGGCCCACCTCCTCATTTCCAGATGAGGAAATAGTCTTGCTTTGAAGATATCCCAACATTTCCCCAAGAATGGGGCCCTTCCCACTAGTGGCACCTGAGTGACTTTGAGTGTGCCCGGACCTGTGATTTAATGACATTGGATCAAGGAAGAAAAAAAAAAAGACCTCCTTTTCAATCTCTGTCAAGTTTTTTTTTTTTTAAGTTTTATTCATTAATTAATCTCTACACTCAATGTGGGTCTCGAACTCACAACCCTGAGGTCAAGAACCATATACCCTTCTAACTAAGCCAGCCAGCACCCTAAATTTAAGGACAGAGTACCAGTTTGGTGCTAGTGTGTCTTTAACATCTATCTGAAACTCACTAACCTATCTTTTTAAGAATGAGAACAGATTTGAGGCTTGGAGCCTCCAACAAACAACAGAATCTAGCTAGCGCTGTATCTTTTATTTTGTATTTTTATTTTTATTTTTTATTTTTTTATTTTTGTTCACTGGCAATATAGTAAGTGATCCTGGTTTTTCCTGTAACATGTTGTTTTTAAAAAATTTTTTTAAATGTATACTTATTATTGATAGAGCACAAGTCAGGGAGGGGCAGAGAGAGAGAGAGAGAGAGGGAGAGAGAGAAACTGAAAGGCTCCAGGCTCCGAGTTGTCAGCACAGAGCCCAACATGGGGCTCAAACTCACAAACCACGAGATCATGACCCGAGCTGAAGTCAGATGCTCAACCAACTGAGCCAGCCAGCTCTCCCCCCACCTTTTTTTAATGTGTAGGTAAGCCAGCTTAAAGACGAATGAAAGTATTAAGGATGCATATACAAGGTCCATAGATGTGGCAAAACTTGACATTTAGGGCTCAGTGGACAAATAATAGGCACCCCAAAGGTAGGACCTGTTGGGGAGTTTCAGACCTTGACCCTCCGGACTGGTGATTGCTGCCCCTGAGTGCCTCCCCTGCCATCCCCAGCTTACCCCAGTCTGGTTTCCGTAAGCTGCCTTGACTATTCCCACTTCCCTTCCTTACAACTATTTCAAGGAAAAATGTAAATGATTTGTAACTGCAAATTCTTCTGTGGGGCAAGATCCAGCCTCAGAGAAGGTGATGCCTTCAGGTCTCACCAGAAGCCAGTAGCAGTAGAGGCTGGATTCAGGAGGACAGGTTACCCGAGCAACACTCACTTCCATGCTGATGGTTCTGACCCGACAATCCCAGCCAAGAGGATGTGATATATAAGGGCCCTTCAGGGGCAGTCCCAGACTCTATATGGAGGAGATTGGCTCAGCACTGGGGTTGGAAGGGGGGTTTTGTTTTGAAGGTACACTTGACCCTTGAACAACACCGGTTTGAACGCCCCATGTACAGGTATTTTTTCCCACAAATACAGTACAGCACTGTAAATGTATTTTCTTTTCCTTATGATTTTCTTAATAACATTTTCTTCTCCCTAGCTTACTTTTCTGTAAGAATGCTGTATAAAGGGGCACCTGGGTGGCTCAGTCAGTTAAGCTTCTGACTTTGGCTCAGGTTATGATCTCACAGTTCGTGGGTTCGAGCCACGCATCAGGCTCTGTGCTGTCACACAGAGCCTGCTACAGATCCTCTGGCCATCTCTCTCCCTGCCCCTCCCCATCCATGTTTTTTTCCCTCTCTCTCTCTCAAAAATAAATAAATAAACTTAAAAAAGTAAGAACACTATATATAATACATATGCCTCACAAAATACATGTTAATCTATGTTTATGTTATTGGTTAGGACTTCCATCAACAGTAAGCTGTTAGTAGTTAAGTTTTGGGGGAGTCAAAGTGATACACAGATTTTCAACTATGTGGGGGTCAGTGCCCCTAACCCCCGTGTTGTTCAAGAGTCAACTACCTGTATATTTTGCATACTAGTGCAGGATTAAATTCTGCTTGAGTGAAATTGATGGGGGACTGTTGAAGCCCCACCCCCCTCCCTAAGCTACCACTTGACTGGATGTCAATGGGTTCCTTACAATTCAAAATTTCTAACTGAATGATTCTAAAGGCTTATTTCTGAATCTTTTTGGGGGGTGGTGGATGGGTGGGCATGGACTTGCCTAGACCGGCAATTCTTGACTTATTCTTGAAACTTAGCAAGAACGACGAAAGGGCAGATTTTTCAAAAAGGAGAAGAAATCTCCAATGTTCCTGTTTCGGTCTGGTGTGTGGGGCTTCCCACTGCTGATAAAATGCCCTTGTCGTCATCGAAGCAAATTGTGTTCAAACTCTGGAAGGAGCCTGCTATTTTCCCAGGCTGAGATGTCGTGGGACTGATGTTCTCCCACCGTGACAAGGATAATCGGTTTAATTAGTAGCCTCTTCCTACTTTGTGTCTCTTGATCATTTCAATTATAGACCTGTTTTCCAGGGAGGCAACAGCACCTCGGCAAACCCGAGGCTTGGCGACTTCCTAAATGTCATGCCCCAACACCCTGCTCCGGCTGAGAGAGGCTGTGCCGCATCTCGGCAACAACTGGGAAGCAAGTTGGGTAGGGAGGCTGCCAGGGCACCAGCATAAGGGAAACCAAGTCAGCGCGGGAAGATGGGTGGGACACTCTCTGTCAACACACCGAAATCAAGAAGATAGTGGACACAAATGGGGCAAGTCGGGCAGGACTGAGAACCACAAGGTTAGGAATGGCAGTACCAGGACACCACGTCTGTCATTCTCCTTGGAGGGGACAGAGACTAGGAAGGAAAGGGGTTGCAGGGTGGCCTAGGGAGGGAATGGGAAAGGGGGAGTGGGATTTAATTAAGTGCCTACTGTGTACCAGCAAATGCACTGGGCCATGTGGTGGGCAACTGTTATTTTTGCCTGCCCAACATCCTTCCCCCTTCTTCCAGAAACATCTTGGGGGTCATGTGAATAAGCCTTTCCTGGTGGAACTACTCATTCCCCCCATCAGTCCAAGTAGTGAAGTAGGGCAGACCCCACCAACAGGTGTGTTCCAACTCTATGGTCCTAGTTATTGGTTTGGAGATGGGCCTGAGATGGTCCAATGAGAGAGCCAGTCCTGGGCGGGGCTACGAGAAAAGAGACTCTCTCCTCCCCCTGGGGATGCTGTCTGATGGGATGTAAGCCTGGGGCCACTGGTGTCCAACTTCCCTGTCATGAAGGAGAGCCTTCTGGAGAATAAAGCCCACGCAGGATAAAGTGGAGCCAAGATGGTGGGATACTCCAAATGCTTTTGTTTGAGCGCTGGATCCAGCTGTACCTGAAGCAAAACCTACTCCTGGGCTTTTTATTATGGGAGTTGATAAATTTCCTTCCTGGTCTGAGCTATTTGACTGTTATTTCTGCACTTGCAACCAAAAAAGTCCTCACTAACTGTAAAGATACTCCTGTATGGGTCCTTCACTCTCACATGATGACCACACTCATAAAACTTCAGACACTAGCATCGGACGCCACAGGCAGCCCCTCCCCCACTTCAGATGTGAATCTCAAGTCCCATGTTGTCACTTGTGCTTCTGACGGACTGGTTATAAATCAGGGTTCCCAGGACCCCCAACTTGAGCTCAATAATTCACGAGAATAGCTCACAACTCAGGGAAACACTTACATTTACTGGTTTATTACACAAGGAGATGACAAAGGATAGGCATGAACACCCAGGTGGAAGAGGTTCGTAAGACCAGGTGTGTGGGGGGAGGAGGGGAGGTTCCATGCCCCTCCCAGTGCACCACTCTCCCAGAACCTCCTCGTGTTCAGCAACCCAGAAATTCTCCAAACCCTGCACTTTGGGGGTTTTTATGGGGGCTGCATCACAAAGGCACGATCCATCATTACTTTCCAGCCACTCTCCCTCCGGCTTCTGAAGGATGGGAGGTGGGGCTGAAAGTTCCAAACTTCTCAGGGCAAGATGTTTCTGGTGATCAGCCCCCATCCTGAAGCTCTCCAGGAGCTGGGAACCAGGGACAGAGAGCAGTATATATATTTGCTATTATTTCACACTAACATTTCCATCAGGAGTTAAATAACGGTAGTATTTGCCATGATAAAGACTCTAAGTCTCAGAGAAAGCGACTTGCGTCAGGTTTCATGGCTGGAAGTAGTAACGTTGGAATCCAAGTCTGTTTCACTCCTATCACGTATTTCATGACATCACATGACATCAAAGACCACTGGGTGGCAGGGAGCTGTGGCCACATGTGTGGGATATAGGGGTCCGGGGTCCTAGATTTTAGCTCCGGCTCTACCGGAAACACTGTGTATGACCTTGCAATTGCATCACACATCTTGGCACTCACTTTTCTCATCTGTAAAATGAGGACGGCTAACTAGTTGATAGCTAAAAGTCTCTTCCAGCTCTAAGAAAAAAAATCAATACATCCACGATGCTAATGGAGCCTCATACAAATGGAATCAATCGAAACCCGGTTACAACAGCAGCCTGAGAGGAGGCTCCGGTGATGCTCAATGAAGCAGCACAAGGGAGAAGCCAGCCATCCGCAGACAGTGTTAGAGCAGCTTGGAAATGCTGGGCTGAGTTCCCATCTGCAGCCCTGTGTGTGACTGAAGAAGTGTCTTCTTTCTCGAAAGAAAAAGTCTGCTTTTATGACCGGCCATCCCACTGACCCTTTACCCAGCTACAATGCAGATGCTTCTCTCCTATAACCCAGCAGACCTCAAACTGTCCTGAAGGTCACTTTTCCCCACACTCCACAGCTTTTCTCAGCCCACAGAGTCCTCAGCTGCTCTGCAGAATCTGACCAACACTGGCCAATCTCAACATCCTTTCTGAAGCTCTTTCTTCTTGTGGCCCAGGCCCCATTCTCCCCCCCCCCCCACCCCTGACTGCTCTCCCTCCTTCTCTGACAGCTCAGGTCCCTTGTGCCCTGTAAGTGGTCCCCCCCCCCCCCCAAGCAGCCTTCAGCCCCTTCCTCCCTCTTCCTCCTTCCTTCCCTCTCTCCCTCTCCCCCTTCCTTCTCTTCCTCTCTCTTGCTCTCTCTCCCTCTCTCTCTCAGTCCCAATGACTCCCCTGGTGCTGACTATTATTCAAATCCTAGCCTTTTTGAGAGTATTCCCCCCACGCAGCGAAGCCCGCTGGAACTTTGCTCCTGAGCTCTGCTCCACATTTCTGACTGCTTTCTTCAAGCCTTCCCGGAATTTCAATCACAACCTGTCCCAAACGGAACTTGCCGTGTTTCTGCCCAGATCAGCTTCTTTCCCTGCCACGCCCTCCCATCCCCCCATCTTCCACATCCCCCCATTCCGCAGATGACAGCTCCAGACTTCCTCTCATCCAGGCTTGACGCCTCCGTACAACTTTTGGCATCTCTTTCCTCAATTCTCATGCCTACAAGTTGCCCCGCAGCAAAGCTGTGGGAATTCGTCTTCCATCATGCTGGAGACAAGTGGTGCCCCTTCTTGGGTCCTTCCCATCACGTCATGCCCCCCCACCCCACTCTTGCTTCTATTTCTTTCCCCCAAATGTAGCCCATGTCCATTATGCCATCCCTCTCTAAAGAGCAGCTCTAAGTGGGTCGCTCATGCTCAATCTTTGCATAAGTCCTATCGCCCAGTGAATCCCACATAAATGCCTCGCCCCGGTATTAGGGCCTCAGAAGCCCAGGCCGACACCCTAGCTGTGCTCCTGTGTCTTGCTTTATCTTCCGCATTGCACTCCTACTGCTCCCTGGAAAGGTTTAAGAGTTGATCAGCTCTGTGCCTTTATCTTATTCTCTCTGACTCCCTACAATCTCTTAAAAACATAATCTTACTGTGTTGGTCCTTGGTTTAAAACTCCCCAGTACCTTTCCATTGCACTTACTCTCAAATCCAGACTCCTAAATGGCCACAAAGCCCGCTATGATATGTCCTGTGTGATAGGCTCCATCCTCCCCAGCCCCATTGTACGTAATCCAGCCACACTGGCCTTTTCCTCTGTTCCCTGAACGGGGCAAGCTCTATTTTTCCCCTAGCGGCTCACAAGACAGCCTCCTTCTCATCCTTGGGGCTCAGCGTCAATGCGTCTCTTTGGGTCCTGCTTTCCTGGTTGCTACCTTCTTTCCTGCGGAGACCAGATGGGAGCGCAGAATCCTTCTCAAAACAGTGCTGACTGCAGGTAACACTGACCAACTGGCCAGCTTGGTCAGAATCAACGATTCTGCTCGGAAGAGCTGACCCGGTCTGTCATCCCCGAACCACTGTCAGAAGGGAAAAACTGAGGCCCGGAGAGGCAAAGAGACTCACCCCAAACATGAGCACGAGTTAGCAGTTGAGTCAATATCAGAACCCAGTTGTTCCTAGTCTTATGCCATTGTTTTTCCTATGCACCGAACCCTTTCCTGTTTTTAATTCTTCGAGGTGAGTGGTCCCAAACCAAGGAAGACTGCTTTCTGGGCCCAAAGGGGGTGGGAGGCAGGCCAGGAAGGCCAGCAGATAGGAGTTTGAGCAGGGGCTCTGCCACAGGCTGCCTGTTACTGGCAGGGCTATAGCTGTGCATCAGAAGCAGGGGAGAGCTGTTGCCATGGTGATGGACCAACCAAAGCAGAGCTCAGGGAGCAAGCTACTAGGCAAGCTGGTTCTTAACTCAGCACATTACCAAACGCTTAAAAATTTAAAACTGGCTTCTATCCTTCAGCAGGGTTGGGAAGAAAACCATAATTGCCTCTCCCCAGGAATCTATCTGGGTCTGAGTCCAGAGAAGCTGCTGATATTCCCAGCATAGCATTTTTTGAACCAGGAATAATTATTGTCTAGCTTCTCATTTTGGGAGTGCCCAGAGAGGCAAACTTATCTGCTCAAGTCATGCGGCAAGCTCAGCTGGGGTAGAGGCAGTGGTGGCAGGGGTCGAGGGGGGGGCTATGAAGAAGGGGTCCTCAGAGACAACTTTTGGGAGTCACAGGCATCCTACACAAACACTTTCACGGTTCCTTGAACCCCACTCACCTCCAAGACCCTGCCGCTGATGTATCGGTCACAAGTCTCGCATTTAATTCCAAACTGGGAGTGGTAATCAGATTCGCAGTACGGAACACCGTCCCTGCAAGAGGAAATCCACACAGGGAGAGGAAGTTAGGGGGGAGAATCCAAGGCAGACCCAGGAGGAGGTCAGACCCACCCTGCAGCCGATGGGGACTGGGCCAAGATTAGACACACTCGGGGAGCTTGTTAAAAATGCAGCCTCCCCAGCCACCACCCAGATCTCTGGGATCAGAGAACCCCTGGAAGGGGGGCCTGGGAATCTGCATCCTGGCAGACTTCTCGAGTGTACCGGGGAACCATGGTCCGGGCTGCTGGTCACAGGTGCCACTTTTGTGTTCTCCTTCCACCCCTCTTCCCCACAAGCCCTCCAGACCCCCTTTCTCCTCTTTATCCCGAAGGGCTGTTTTAAAAACTTATTGTGAAAATGCACTAAGTTTTATTTTATTCAGAATAGGTAATAGTTGCATTTGGCACATCATAAAGGCATAAAGGGGAAAGGTTCAAAGGTTTCACCCTCCTCTCAGCCCCTTCCAGGAGGTAATCAATGTGGTCAATTTTTGTGTACAGCCTTAAAGACTCCTCTTCCAATAAAAAAGTTTTACCTGTAGCGTAAGAGTCATCTGACTGTGCTCCAGGGTGAGGAGATAATAGGAGCCTACCCTAAGCACTTCCCATGCGTTTCGTTTTTGCCCGGTGCTTATAACTTATCAGGCAGTAATCGGATTTTTGTTAATGATTCTTATACTACCTCCTACTACTAAAAGCCACTGGTTTATTTCTGGGTGTGTGCCGGGCCCTGCAAAGGTGTTCCACATAGATTATTTCATTTAATCCGTCCAGCCGCTCTATGAAGTCGGAGCTTTCAGTCTCCCTACTGTGTTGATGAGGCAACTCAGTAACTCCACTCAGATGATCTAAAGCTGGGCCCAAAGCCGGGCGGTCTGGTTTCTTGCCCAGGTGGTCATGAGGACTGAAGGACACGGGTCTGGTGTGTGTGGCTCGGCTGAGGGTCGGCCTATAGGGGGCACACGGCAAATTGCAGCTAGAGGGACCCCCACGATAGTGGAGAGGGGTCTTCAAGAGGACGCTGCGTCTATGGACCCGATCTGATGACACGGCCCTGTAGTGCTAATGAATCCACCAGGAGAGAGGGCCATTTCCCCCACTTCTGGGAGTAACGGAACTGGCTCACGCAGAGAAACCTGAAGGACAGGCCTGTCACTATTTCCTCTCCAAGTTGTCGCCACGTTGGGATTGCTGTGACCCCACCCAGGGCAGCAGAGAGTCCGTGTTCACCTGAAGGAGAAGGAGTAGTGAGGACTCAGGCCCAGAAAAGGCCAGAGGTCAGGCTGCAGTTCGTGGGCCCACGAGACAAGCCTCCTCTCACCCTGGCCGACCTTTCCACACTCCGTGGGTGTGGTAGGTGACCCCATAGGGAGATAAAGTCATGTGTCAGCAGGTGGGTACAGTGAGCTGGCAAAATTTGGGTATTAATGCCAACCCCACATCCTTTGGACCCATGGGTTGGGAGGGCTCAGGGAATTTGAAATATGCACGATTCTCAAAAGAGGCAGATGGTAAAATTAATGTTTACTAGACACTTATTATGTACAAAGCACGGATATCTGAGCTTTCACGTGGCCCCATGAGGTAGGCCTTCTTATCTCTGTTTTTATAAGCGAGGAAACTGGGACTTGGAGAAGTTAAGTCTCTTGCCAAGGTCATGCAGGCTGGGCTTCTAACCAGGGCATCAATGCAGAGCCAAGGCCTCTAAGCACCCGGCACTCTGCCAGCAGACAAATGACGAGCAGACTGCACAGGCCCAAGGTGTGTCGGGCAGTCAGGGCCGGGCCTCCTTGAGAGGTGCTCTGGGCAAAGCCGACGCCTCTAAAGAATTCTGACTTGGGTTCACAGACTCAAGGACTCCTGGCTGGCGACTCACTAAGGGCACTTCTTACTTGGCAGGCACAGAGGCAGATGCCAAACTCCTACTAGCATGGCATTCGAAGCTCTCGGGGATGTGACCTCGGCTCACCTTGGCAGCCTTGGACCCTGCATCACCTGTGCACACGTCTGAGCTCCGGCAAACAAGATGGACGTGAAAGGCACCACCCTGCCCTTGCCCATGCCGGGCATTCTGCCTCCAAGCTTTCCTTCTTTGCATTTTCGAATCTTACCCTTGTTTGCAAGGTCTGGCTCAAATAGCGCTATCTTCCACGAAGCTCTCACAGACTCCAGATTTCACTCCCTGCTAGTTCGAAGCGATCGCTTTTTTCTCTGAGTAGTTACAGCCTTTCACTTGGGCCTCTGGCAGAAAGTGCTGTCTGGTAGCATCTATGCTCCCTTTTGCCCACAATGTTGCCTGGGTTTTCCTTTGGGGGCCACCCCTTCCCAGACGCAACTACTGTGGGTCATGGAGGGCTGCTCTCTGGCTGTAAGGTTCATATCCTCCTGGCCAGCGAATCCTCAGGAATGGGTGTGTGACCCAAGGGTGGCTAAATCAGAGGCAATCGTGGATGTTCGCTGGATTCCTTGGGAAGGAGACCTCTTTCTGTCTGCCAGCCTGGTCAAGCTGGTGGGATGAAAGCCTAGAGTTGCTGGTGATCACCTTTGCTGCCCTTTGGGGAGGGCCTGGTTGAGAATAAATCCAACCCAGGGGGACGTGGAGCTGGGAGAGCGGTGGGGGAAAGAGAGAGGGGGAGGGGGGCACTGCTAAAGCGCCAATGACATCTTTAAGTCCCTGGATTCAGTCATGCCGGAAGTCGGTATGCCTCTAGCCTTCCCTTTTCTGAGTCAACAAACTCTCGTTTTTGTTGAGTTCAAATTAAAACTCTCGTTTTAAATGAGTTCGAATCAGGTTTTCTGTCCCTTATGATCTTAAAGAACAAAACTCTTGAGCGCCCTATCACATAACCACTGATGCCATAATTCTTTATGTATCTAGTTTCTCTCCCTTATTAGACTATCACTCTCCTGACAGCAAAAGCCGTATGCGCCACAACTTTACATGCTCACTATGTCCTTCCTAGCAGTGGGCCACAGCGGCACCTCAGAAGTGTCTGGGTCATAGAGAACCCAAGCTGTCAGGGCCTGTGGCCGTGATTTCTTGTAGGTACTTGAGTATGTAAACGCGGTCCCTAGGGTCCAGCAGCCAGGGGACTGGTGCCGCACTCCGCTGGCACTGGGGGTCGGGCCCTTTTTCCTGATAGCTTTGTGCCTCCACCGTGTCTCATATCAATTAAATTCACCCAACAACTGTATCATTGGCCAGGGCTCGGGCGCTGGGCTAAAAAGGCAGCAGTGGATAAAAACAAAGTCCCTGCCTTGGTGAGGACAGACGCTAAACATAATCATGGAGCAAGTTACTTCCTTCCCCAAGCCTCAGTTTTCACAGCTTTTAAAATGGGGATGGATGCCCCCTGGGGGTAGTTGTGGGATTTAATGTGATAATCCGTACACTGCCATTAGTGTGTCCTTTGTACTTAGGAAGAACTCAGTAAGTGGTAGCTAGTATGAGTTATCATTATTAAAGAGTTGACATGGATAGATACGTAACTGCAAACGGCGTTAGCCTATGTGGAAGGACACAAACAGGGCACGGGACGGTATGAAACCACCTCTGGAGAGTGGATGTGGGACTCAAGACGGGGGGTGGGGTGGGGGTGGGGGTGCAAGCATGGCAGGGAGGGAGGAGAGCATCGCAGGTGGAGGAAACATCACGGAAGGGCCCAAGGGTTGGGGACACGCTGTTTGTGGCTGTGGCTGGGGGGCTGGATGGAAGTGGAGGGAGGCGATACTGGAGACTCAGGCAAGGGAGCATGGGGCAGGCTGGTGGAATGCGGGTGGGGGGGATCCCAGAGGCTCAGCGGGGGGGGGGCGGGGGGGGCGGGGGGGATCCCAGAGGCTGGGCGGGAGCGGCGGCGGGGGGCACCCACTTGCTGATGTACTCCCCGGTGAGGATGACACTGCAGGTCTGGCATTTGAAGCAGCTGACGTGCCACTGCTTGTCCAGCGCCAGGAGCGACTGGCCGTGCTTGATCTCCTCCTTGCACCCGGCACAGTCTGCAAAGATAAGAGGACACCCCTGAGCAAAACATCCTGAGCCCCTGGCAGCTGCCCTCATCTCCGCCAGGTGAAGGAGAACCTCCCCCGTCCTCCAAAAACCGCTTTTCTCTCAGCACCTTCCACCCTGGCACCTGTCCAAGGCTCTCCCCGGTAAAAGCAAAGGCCACTGGAGCCCTGGCCTCTGGACAAGAGGTCTTGGTGGGAGGGACAAAGAAAGACACCCTGGGATTCCTTCAGAAAGTTCTCTGTCATCCTGACCGCTGTTCATCCGAAACCAGACGGAGCCTGCCCTGCTTCTGGCCTGCCCTCAAGCAGGTGACGACGCAGGCTGCTCTCCGTGACCTGGGGGACCTGCGGCATCAGCGTCACCTGGGAGCCTGCACGCGCCCACCATTTCAGATGCACCCAGACCTCCTACATCTTCTCTAGATCACCAAGCACAGTAATGTCTGAAAAGCACTGCACCAGGGATAAGCTTAGTATCTAATTTTTCCCACCCTTAGGCTTTATGCTCAACAGCAAGGACCCCTGTCTGTCTTTTGTGGCTAAATCTATTCTTTTGACTAGCGCTGTGCTTGGCACATAGCAGGCACTCAAATCATATTTGCTGAGCACAGATAAAGTAGCGGACCTCACACGGTACCCAAGAAAAGAACAGAATTTACAATGCCTGCCCTGCTCCAACATCCTTATTTATATGCCAAGAATTTTCCTCCCCAAGGATTAAAGAATCTGATAAGACTGCCCCAAACCAGAGCGGTGCCCTCACTCTCCAACCTTATCACCCGGGATGGGGTAGCAGAGCCACAGAATGTGGGGGGCCAGGCATCTGTCGGTTGCTCAACCGATGTCTGGGGAGGGGCAGGAAATGGCGCCAGCGTCCAAGGTACTTGGGAGATGCTGGGAATTCAGGCCTACCCGACCGGATGTCCCATTCTGGAGGAGGAAAGGGTCATGGGACAAAGTTTACCAGAGGACAAGCCTCCTTACTGGCGCCACAAGACAGATGCATACTTGTGGGGAGAAAAGAAACCGCACATGAAGTTGGGAGAGGCTGGCTGGAGGACCTCACGTGCAGCTGGAAGTCAGTGCTGGGAGAGAAGATGAGGTGTCTGCCTAGGAAGGGGGTGTGGCCAGCTGACTGTGGGAGGGGCTGGGCCCTGATGAAGTGCCTGTAGGAGGCACCCCCCCCCCCCCAAGTACTGAGCTCTCGCTACCGATACCACGAGCCTTTCTAACATCCTTGGCACAGGCTAGGGGCAGGAGGGTCTCCAATTGCAAAATGCTTCTGGGGGCCAGGAGAATAGTCCTGAGATTTCTTTTCCCTCCTTTACTCCTAGAATAAGTCTACCCACTTCCATCCCAGTAACTAGAGGCTTTAGAATGTAATCATTTAGAAAGGCCTCCTTCCTGTTTAGAGAAGTGACTCGCCCGTGCTCAGCAGAGAAGAGCCTGGGGGCTCAGGGGTCAAATACAGAACCCCAAATACGGAGCTTGTGTCTCTGTGGGCCTCCATGATAGGGTAAAACAATTCTCAGGGGCTCAGAGTTCACAGAGCATTTGGTCACAGTCCCACGAATGCAGGAATCTACAGCATCCTTGACAGGTGGATGCTGGCCTCTGCTTAACTGCCTCCAGGGGTCGGAAGGAAGCTCACCCCCTTTTTTGCAGAAGCCCACTTTGCCTTTTGACTGACAAATTATCATGACTGCCTTTTGATTTTGATTTTAAAAGATACGTATCACATAAGGGTTTGTTTTGTTTTGTTTTGTTACTTCACTTTTTATTTCCTACCTGATTTTTTTTTTAATTGAAGTGTCATTGACATACAATGTTATATTAGCCTTAGGTGTACCACACAGTGATTCAACAACTCTATACCTAATGCTAGGGGGCCACAAGTGTAGCTACCATCTGTCACCATACGATGCTATTACAATGCCCTTCACTATATTCCCTGTACTGTGCCTTTTATCCCCAGGACTTATTCCTTCCATAACTGGAAGCCAGTGCCTCCTACTCCCCTACACCCATATTTGCCCATCCCCCCTTCTCCATCCCTCTGTCAACCATCAGTTTGTTCTCTGTATTTATGGGTATGTTTCTGCTTTTTTGTTGGTTTATTCATTTGTTTTGTTTTTTAAGATTCTACATATAAGTGAAATCATGCATTTGTCTTTCTCTGACTTATTTCACTTAGCATAATTCCCTCTGGGTCCATCCAAGTCGTGGCAAATGGCAATATTTCATTCTTTTTTTTGTGACTGAGTAAATATTCCATGGTGTATATAGGCCACATCTTCTTTATGCACTCATCAGTTGATGGACATCTGGGCTGTTTCCATATCTTGGCCATTGTAAATAATGCTGCAATAAACATTGGGATTCATGTATCTTTTAAAATTAGTGATTGTGTTTTCTTTGGGAAAATACCCAGCAGGGGAATTACTGGATGATAGGGAAGTTCAATTTTTAGTTAAAACATTTTTTTAATGTTTATTTATTTTGTGAGAGCGAGAGAGCAAGCAGAGCAGGGGCAGAGGGAGAGAGACAGAAAATCCCATGCAGACTCCACGCTGTCAGCACAGAGCCCAATGCGGTGCTCAAACTCATGAACTGTGAGATCCTGACCTGAGCTGAGATCGAGTCGGACGCTTAACCGACTGGGCCACCCAGGTGCCCCAATGTTTAATTTTTTGAGGAACCTCTGTTCTGTTTTCCACAGGGATTGCATCAATCCACATTCTCACCCACAATGCACAAAGGTCCCTTTTTCCTCCACATCTTTGTTGACACTTGTCATTTCTCGTCATGACCGCCTTCTTTTTATGGAGAGCTGAGATCTGACTCCTGTGATGCCCCTTATTTTATGCAGTAAGGATAACCTACCTCTCTTGTCACCTGACACTTCCTTCAAATATTTATGTATGTGTGTATATATATATGTGTATATATATATATGGCATATATATATTTAAGTTTATTTATTTTGAGAGAGAAAGAGTGCAAGCAGGGGAGGGCAGAGAGAGAGAGAGAGAGAGAATCCCTAGCAGGCTCTGCACAATGCAGGGTTCAAACTCACAAACTGTGAGATCATGACCTGAGCTGAAATCAAGAGCTGGATGCTTAACCAATTGAGCCACCCAGGTGCCTCACCTTTACATATTTAAAGAGAGTTACAGTTTCTCTCTTCCCCTTCACTCCTCACTTCACTTTTCCTTGCAGGCTGTGGTCATCCACTGATCAGATCCGCTTGCGGACTCCATGGAGCGAGGTCTCTTATGGCCAGCTACACAGTCCCCCACCTCTCCAATACGTGTTGTCTGAATAGTTGCATCCTGTCGTGGCCACATTCTAGCAACGAGTCCTATGTCTCCTTAGTTGCACTGATACATCTGAGATGGAATTAGCACCCTGAGTTAAAGTTCAGGAGGTGGTACCGTGCAGTGGGCAGAGGCGGGGCCCGGAGGATAGAGCGAATGGTGACAGGCTGGCCGAGGGCAGGATCCCAGCTCCCTCCCTCACCAGCTGTGTGACCGCTAAGCTCCTGCTTCTTGATCTGAATGTCTTCCTCACAACACCGGTGTCAAGAGGTACCATAATCAGGCCTTGGAAGGACACGACACATGTGCTCCATAAACGGTCATTGTCATTCTTGCTTCACGTTCTCGTGTTTCCAGCCCATAGTCTGTGCACTATCCAGTCTCAATCTGAGGCCAGAAGAATCTTCCTCTTGCAAGGAAGGCCTGTTGATCCCTGAGACGCCTTCTCCATGTGGCCTTTCTTTTCATGTTACCAGGGTGGTCCTCCACTGTACCGGCCTCAGACTGATCAGGACCTTTTTCTCCCTCCTCTTCCTCCTTTCATCCTTGACCACGGGGGGAGCCTCGGGCATCCACCCAGGAGCCCCCGAGTCTGGTATGATAAGCAGGGTCAGGAAAACCACACCCTGCCCGAGCCGCCGGCTGTCTGCCCCTCATCTGTTCCCCTCTGTTCCAAAATTACAACCGTCAGCTGGCAGAGAGTATGACGCCACCACCTGTCCCCCCAGTCCCTTAGTTTATGGAGGCCTCCAAAAGCTCCAGACAGCTATTTTTAATTTTTCTTGACTGTGTCATACATTCCATTCAGATCAGCAAAAATGAGTGGGTTTTGTGAGTCCCTTCCCTGTTGTGGACAACGAATGCAGCGGGACAGGCCCCTTCCCAGTTAGCGAGTCATGTCTCTGGTATAGGGTGTGAGGGAAGAGGCTGCAGGGCCAGATGCCTGGGCACATTTCGGTTTCATTGCTTACTATTTGTGAGACTTTGGGCACCCCATTTCTGCTATTTATGCTCTGTGGGTCTCAGTTTTCTCATCTATAAAAAATCCTTCTTCTCTCTCTCATAGAGCTTTCATGATTAAATGAGATATTATATGTAGAAAACTTAGTGCATTGCCTGACAATAATAACAGTTAGTCAGTGTTAGCAGTGGTGTGATGGTGTTGGTGGTGCTATTGCTGGTGGTGGTGGTGGTGATGGTGGTGGTGGAATTGGTGGTGATGGTGGTGGTGTTGGTGGTGGTGGTGGTGGTGGCGGCTACAGTGGGGTGTTGGGGCGGTGGGGTGGTGGTGGTGGTGGTGGTAGTGGTGGTGGTGGTTTTGGTGTTGTTGTTGTTGGAGATGGTGGGGTGGTGGTGGTGGTGGTACTAGTGGTGGTATTGGTAGTGATGGTGGTGGTGGTGGTATTGGTGTTGGTGTTGTTGTTGGTGGTGGTAGTGATGATGGTGGTGGAATTGGTGGTGGTAATGGTGGTGGAATTGGTGTTGGTGGTGATGGTGGTGGTGGTATTGGCGTTGTTGGCGATGGTGGAGTGGTAGTGATGGTGGTGGTGGTGGAATTGGTGTTGGTGTTGTTGATGGTGGTGGTAGTGATGATGGTGGTAGAATTGGTGGTGGTAGTGGTGGTGGTGGTGGTGGTACTAGTGGTGGAATTGGTGATGTTGTTGGTGGTGGTTGTGGTATTGGTGTTGTTGTTGATGGTGGTGGTGGTGGCTACAGTGGGGTGGTGGGTTGGTGGGGTGGTGGTGGTGGCAATGGTGTTGACAGTGATGGTGCTGACAGCTGTGATGGTGGTGGTGATGGTACTGCTGCCAATTCCTCTTAGTGAAGATGATGAGGAAAAACTTATTCTCATAAAAAGTAACACACTTCTTTTCTCTCGATAGGTCCCGAGTATTCTTGATCTCTTTTGAGTAGATATTACTCTTGCTTGCCCAGAATGTCCTTATTCACCCTCCTGGGATGAAGTGTCACACTCCCACAGATCGAAAATACACCACGTGTTTCCTCACTCTTTTTCTGTTCCTCGGATAGGCTCTTCCTCTCGGCCCTCTCTTGAGTCTGGTTTTGGTTCCCTCGATCCTTCAGGAACTTAGCAGATCTTCCAACAACCCCTCTGGTGACGACGTGCAGCACGGAGAGTGAGCACCTCTGGGGAGAAATCACTTCTGTGGAACACAGGCCCTGCACATCCACAGACTGATGTCTCTACTTGGTGAGCGACCAGACCAGCCAGGATCCTGCGTGCTCCCCCTGGAGCCACCCGGGTGCTCACCTCCTTCCCATTACTCACTCTTCTTCACCTTTCTCTGCCTTTGGACTTGGAGAATTACAGTGGAGACATTTAGCAGCCGCTCCCCAAGGACACACTCACATCCAGGATTCCCGCCCGCAGCTGAGGAACTCTCCTGCCTCCCCGGGGTGCCTGATGCACTTGGTAATGCGTAATGCGGCATGAGCCAAGAGGAATAACAGATTCAGGGGTCATATTTCCTCCTCGGAGTGCTCTCCAGATTAAACCTCCACGACCCCAGCATCCCTCACTTTAGATTTAGAGAGCATTTTACGCACTATGATGTATGTTAGCCTGGCTCCTGGATACAAAGACATTTGCTTTCCAAAAAGCTGGGTAAACAGCCCCTGCGAGGCTCTGTATCTGCCGTGCTTCCCACAGAAGGTTGGCTCCAGCCTGCCTCTCTCTACTGCCTGACACGTGGTCCTGCTCGTCCCTGGGCGCCTCCCTGGCCTCAGTCACAGGCCCGGTGTCCTACACCCTGCACTCCCAGGCTTGCTGTCATTCCGCGCGATGCTTTCCAGCAATTATAACAGATAACAGCGTGTGTGCTCAGGCCCCTTGAGATGGAAAGCTGCTCTGACCAGCGAGCTCTTCTTGAATGTCACCGGGGATAGGAAGTGCCCTCTGCACATTCTGTGAGCAGATCTGATTAGATCTAGAGGAAGGAAGGGCGAGGGAGGGAGCCTTCCCATCATCTTTCTCCAGCACACTGCACCGGGCAGTCTCTCTCATGGAGCCCCTAGGGGCTGAGCCCTGCTGACTGGGCGGTCGGTGCTCGCCCCCGCAGGAGGACACAGCCCCCACATGCTGACTCTGTCGGTGCCCGCGCCTGCACGGTGATGCAGCAGGAGGCTAATGGGTTTCCGTCGATTCTGCTGGGGAGGCCAGGGGGAGTGTCACAGAACGGAGGAACACAGGAGCCTTGGGTGGCTTACTGCAGACGCAGGGGCCCAGGTCCGTGTGCACGGGCACCTGCCATCAGCAGCCTGACAAGGGTGTGCGGGAGCCTTGGTCCAGACGCCTCACCGCTAGACACACGCTGGTGGAGTGGGTGTCCCACAAATTTGAATGTGTGCTCCAAGGTACCCTCCTGAACCTCAGTTTCCCTCCAGATCTCTGCTTTCATGATGAAACAGAACATTTACTATGGTGTGGCGCACGTTCCCCTCATCTCGAACGGTGGTCCTCAGTCTTAGAAGCAGCAAACCATCCCCCAGGAAGCTTATGAAGAATGCAGCTTCCTGGGTTCCCTTCTTAGAAGTCCAAAGGGGGCCTGAAAATCTGCATGTTTCCTAGTTATGCGGTGAAACTGACCCAGTGATCTCCTGGACACCCGCTAAGAGACACTAGCACAGCTCCGGTGGGCTGCTCTCATATTTCTCCTTTTTAAGATGTGTCTGTGTACACTTTTTAGTAGAGTGTGTGAAGATTGAGAACCACACTGGTGGCTTCATCAGCCCTGTTTTAGGGCGCCTTGGGGAACGTGGGGCCAGAGGGGAGATAAGATCAGGAGCCTAGCTCATCCCAGAAGAGCCCCACCTAAGTGGCCAAACACGGTACAGGCTGTCATCGTTTATAATCAGCAGCCTGCTTTCCCTGCATTTCTGCTTAAGGACGCTTGTGAGTCCGGGCAGCGTGCCAACTGGGTCATGCTGCAGGAGTCCTCCAGGGTGGAAACCTCCCCCACACCCCTCCCGGCCAGCAGGAGCCGGTGACAGAGCCGGGACGGGGAGCCCTAGGAGACACGGCCGGCTGACAGGGAGGCACCCAGGGGGAAGACTCACGGCTCGGTCCGCGGATCTTGATGGGCTTACTGCTGGTCATGGACTGGGAGCACGTCTGACACACGCATTCCTTTCCGCTGAAGGTGACCTTGTCTCCAATGGGGAAAGGCTTCCTGCAAGGGACATGAAAGAGAAATTCGACACCTCTTCTCTAGAGAGTTCCATGTCTCTTGGTGAGCTCACAGACAGCGCACGGGCTCACGGCTCGTTGGTACCACACGCAGCCTACCTTACATTATACCAAGTAAAATCAAGTGCTGTTCACAACGCCAGGCAGACTGAACCACTCGGTTGGGGGCCAGGACCAGAACAGTGGGCCATTTCGATGACTTTAACACCGGGCAAATCCTGCAACCGAGTTGAGCTTACATTTCTCATCTGTAAACGAATTGGTGAATAATTCCTCCTCGAGCTGTCCCTTCTTCTTGGTAGGACTTTTTCCAACCCAACCCCACCTATCCTCACGTATCAAGAAGATTCATTCAACTCCTCGATTCACCAAAATGTGTTCCTTTCACTATCCAGGAGGTTGAGAAGTCCACAGTTGATCTCTTCCTCAGGTCCTCAGCTCATACACGGCCTGGCTCCCTACCCAAATATAAATTGTGCATAGAGTCCCTGGCACCATCGGGCCCATTGTTCAGCTGCACTTGTGCACGAAGTCTGGGACAGGTGTCACATGGCTCTGAGTGCAGCCCCGGACACAGGCTTCCAGTGGCTGCCCCTTGCATGAGCAACGTGGGAAGCAGCGCCGGGGTGGAGTGGGGGAGCTGTGTTCTCACCTCGGCCTGGGCACTGACTTGTGGCAAAGGACATGGCATGGCCTTGGGGAGGCACTGTATCTGTATGGGGCCTGACAGAAATTTCACTTTACACCGTATGGAGCCGACTGTGCTCACCTCCACTGGGGCTGGGATTCTGGGACCCAGGGCCCAGGTTTTAAGAGACAGATGATTGAATGAATGAATCCCACTGGGTGATTTTTATTTTCTCACACCCTGTGTCATTAGTCTCTGCCAGGAACTCTAGCTGGTAACTAACAGGTAGTTATTTTATGGGGGAGAATAATTAATCTATAAATTCTGCTCCTAATTAAAAAATGCATATATTTCTTCCAAACCATGTTTCTCTTTATGACTTAATCAGAGCAGTCCATTAACTCTTAATGTATTTGTGGGCAGGGCTGAGTTTCCTTTAGGTTTTTCATCTGCTTAATGCAGTGCTTGGCATACAGCAGACCCTTAATGTACATCTGCTATGTTAACAAGTAACCAGGGATGCAGAGAGTGGGGGGAGGGGAGCTTTCCATCACCTACCAGTATCCTGAGAGGCTAGATGCTTACCATATAATGATGACAAGACTAGCAAAAGTAGGCACGATTATGTCCTGAGCTGTGGTCCCTGCAAGTAGCATCTCATTTATCTTCATGAAAACCCAACGTGATTAGGATGGTTTTGATGCCCATTTTACTGATGAAGAAGCTGAGGCCTCCAGAGGTCGGATCACTTTCCAGGGTCACCAGCCAAAATGGGTTCTGAGAGGCCAGGGTACTCGGTGGTTCCTTTGAGGACTTCTAATGGGAAATGCGAGGCTGAGCGTGGAGGCTCAGATCCTCACTCCGTCTTGGTTGCTAGACAGACTAGCGTTTTATGTTCGATCATACTCGAGAGATGGAATTCAGCCTCTAAAAGGTTTGAAAACCACCGGCCTTTCAGATCATTCCACCCAGGAGATCTTAGAAACCCAAGGGTCTGGCCTACAGCCCCGAGAGCCCCAGACCTGCCAGGGGGCTCGGGCAGAGGGTCCCATGCTCCTCTGGCCACCTGCTCACCTGCACAAGCTGCACACGAAGCACTTGGGGTGGTAGGTGCGGCCCAGGGCAGAGATGACCTCCCCGGTGATGAAGTCCCGGCAGCTGTCGCAGCGGGTGCCGTAGAGCTGCTGGTAATCCTGAGTGCAGATGTACTCCTGGTTCTTAAAGAAGAAGCCCGACTGGGCCAGGCCACAGCCACACACTGGGGGCAACAGAGAGAGAGACAAGGGCGGGCTGGGGCCAGGGAAGGTCTGCAAGCATGACAAGCATGAGGTTCTCACTGGGGACAAGGCCGGAGTCTGACTGGGTCATGAGTGGCCAGACAATGGTGGCGGACTAGACATCACTGGGCTAGTATTTCTTAAAGTATGTCCTGAAGACCTGACGCATCAGAATCAGGAGGCCGGCGGGCCTGAATCACACTCCCTGGGGCTAGGCGCCAGGTGTTTGAGTTTCAGCAAGCTCGCCAGATGCTTCTGACGCACCCTCACTCAGACCCCTGATGTGAATGAAAGTTTAGGGCTGAATTTGATACGAATCATTCAGTTCAAGTTCCCCTGGGCACTTCCCACGTGCTTGAGCCTGGGCCAGGCAAAGACAATTTTAGAACGGCGATGGGATGGCTGATTTGAAGTCTATAGCCTGCTCTCACCATAGACATAAAGAGGCGGTCTGTTCCCTGGGCAGGAATGATAAAACCTGGTCCCTGAACTATGAAGAGCCACTAATGGATGTCAAAAGATGGCCTTATGGAACATACATCGTGGGTGACCGGCGATGGGCTGGTGCAGACAGCAAGTGCTGTTCGTGGGGAGGAAAAAGGAGCAATGTCACTGAGGGAGCGATTATGGTAGACTTCCTGGAGGAGGTGGCATCTGGGTTGAACTCTGAAGGCAGACTGAGCTACCTCATGTTAAGTAGAAGTCGCAAGTGATATTTGTGTGGTGGTGGGGCTGGAGTAGGGGTGGTGTTTTCAGAGACTGGAGGGCAGTAATACAGGAAAATATTGACAGTTGGAAGAAGGCCTGAGTCTGGCTTAAGAAGCTTAGGTTTTGTGGGATATTGAGAAGCCATGGGTAGATTTTTAAAAATCTAAAAAACAAATTATTTTGAAACTCCAACCTATACAAAGGAAGAGAGAAGGTTATAATGATATCCCATCAGCCATTTGCAAAAATGACCAATTGCACTGATGGCTTCGGAACAGAAAGGCAACGTGATTTCATAAGGTGGGGTTTCCTTGTGGACAATATGAAGATGTGTAGGATCGATAATAGAAGAGCAGGTGGATATAATTATAGGTGCTTGAACAACTCAACCACGTGGGACTTCTTTCCCCCAAAGGACTTAGAAACGTGGGGAATGAGATTTCCCGCTGAGGGTTGAATTGTGAAATCAACAACTAATGGGAAGAGCAGAAAGAAGCAAAGTTTCTTCCAGGAGCTCCAATGGCTCCCAGGGCCACCAGCACTGCCGAGTGTATTGCTCCCCGGCTACAAAGCAAGGGTGGCCAGCCAGGAAGGGGCTGGCCGGCAATCAAAGGAAGGCCACTCCGGAGCCCATTTCAACCCTGTGACCAGCCCCCTTGTTCTGAGTCTGCATTCACTGAGTGATTATCTGATAGTTTGGCTTTCTATATAGTTGGCCTTTGGGAGGGACGCAGCTGGTCAGGGCAACGTGAACTAGTACAAGGGGGAATCACGGCTCTTGTTTCCATTAATAAACAGGCACTCTGATTGTATACACTGGCTTCCTGAGGACTCGGTTAGCAAGGACGAGCTTTCTCAAGCATGGTCAGTGGTGTGGAAACCAACGAGATGGAATTCCGAGCCTGTAACTGTGAGGACCTGGCCCGGACTGGGTGATACTGCCCCAGCGAACACAACTCCTTGTTAACAGGGAGAGCTGTACTGCAAGAACAGCCAGGTTAAAGACTGGAGGGACTTCTGGGCACACGGCAGAACTATTTCACAGGTGCTTGTTCAACTTGCGGGCCAGCGACAGGCAGGATGAGTGTGGAAGAGGGTGGCCCCTAATCAACAGCATGAGGGGGACAGCGCAGCACAGTGGGGGATGCAGCGGTCTGGGAGCTGAGGCATCTGGGCTCTGGGTTCGTCACTGCCACGAACTCTGTGGGTGACCATGAATGTGGTCTCTGTTCACATGCACGTAAAATGAAGAAGCAGGATTCAAAAGGGAGGTGAGCTTTTCTTCTGACACTGACATGCCGTGAGTCTAGGAGAGGGAGCCCTCCTTCAGGGCTTACCGGGTGCCCAAACATTTTAAACTCGGCGCAAGTTAGAGGCTGGAGGCAGGGGTGGTGGTTGGTGGGGGAGGGTTCACCTGCCACCAGGCTTGGAGAAAGTTCATCACATCAGACAATGTCTCCAGAGCAGGCCAGGCCAGAGCACGGGCCGTTCTGGGGTGTGCAGGTGGCGGATCAATTGACTTAATGGCTGTGGAACTAGTTAGGTCGTAGCCTACGACCTCATTGGACTCAGCTCCCGTTTTTTTCCTTCTCTTCTCTCCTTTGCTTCCCCTGCCGGCTCCACCCTCACAGCTACGTCTCCCAGTGGACAAAACCAGGAGGCCATAAGAAAACTCGGAACATTCGGTTCCTCTATTTCCCCCCAAGGAGCTGAAAGGAGGAAGTTTTTGGTAGAAAGGATGTAAAGGTTGATAAGCATCTCAGGGGGTTCCTGGAAATACAGTGGGGAACGCGGGGATGGAAGGCAAGTTGGACAGCACTGACAGCTGTGTTTGAGGTTGAGCAGAACCCAGCATTCAAATAACAGGAAAGGCCTTGGAGAGGGGCTGCAGTATGGAACTGACATGGAATTAACACACCTGGGCCAGTCGTTATTCTGTGAATCAAAAAACATCAAGTCTCTAATTTTAAAAAAAAGCAGATCATTTGGTTTGACAGTGGGGCAGGATATGAAAGCTTAGCACTGCTTTGAGAAAATCCAGAATGAATGTTCGCTATACATATAATGCCTAGAAAGAGGCCTTGCACACGGTCATAGCATGTTTCGGCGGTAACTATACTATTTTGTGGGTCCCTGGACCTTTGTCCATATTTCTGTCCTACCACTCAGAGGCTGGGTGGCTTTGAAACAGTTACCCCACCTCTCTGGGCTCTGTTGCTTCATTGGTGAAATGAAGGGGCTACGTGGTAACTGAGAACACACCCAGATCCGAGAGTCTGTCCTAGGATTCCGTTGATTTTCAACTTTTCAAATCAGACCGAGTTTTACGGAGTTTCAAAACCGAAGTATTAGAAGGGCCACTGAGGGTGATCTATTTAATATTCAAACATTTAAAAAGTGAAATATATCACACATACAGAAAACGTAGTCAATATCCACGTACAGTTTAAAGAAGAAGAATAAAATAACACTCCCAGGCAGCTGCTACCAAATCAGGAACTAGAACGCTACCTTGGAAGCCTGTTTGCATCTCCCGAAAGCACTCCCTTGCCATGTGGTCCCTAATTGTGTGTTGGTCCTTCTGCTTTTACCACCTCCGGTGTATCCACGAATCATGCTTTGTTTAGTTTTGCCTTCTTGGGACTTTATCTTGATGGAACCATACTGCATTTAGTCTTCTGTGCATGCGTCATACTTTGAGGATTGTGTTTTTGAGATTCATCCACGTCGATGCATGTAACTGCAGTTTTCCTTTCACTGCTGTGCTGTGTCCCATTGTCTGCCCCATGACTGATCTGCTTTACTGCTGAAGGACATTTGAGCTCCTTGCAGTTTTGTTTGGTTTTTTTGAAATGTTGCTTTGAAAATTCTTGTATTTGCAAGGTGACGCCTTACTGTTTTCCAAAGAGTTTGTCCCATTTACATTCCCACCAGCACTTGCCACCGATCCATAATGTCACTGAAAGCTGCTAATGTGTAGTCAACATGGTAGCTACAAAATGACATCTTATTGTGACTTTAAATTTCCTTTTTCTGATTCTTAACCAAACTGAGAATTTTATGGGTTTTTATAAATTTCATTTATTTATTTTTTGAGAGACAGAGAGAACGAGTGACAGGGGGAGGGGCAGAGAGAGCGGGGAGGGAGAGAATCCCTAGCAAGCTCCTCCCTGTCAGCACAGAGCCCGATGCAGGGCTCGAACTCACGAACCGTGAGGTCATGACCTGAGCTGAAATCAAGTCGGACGCTTAACTGACTGAGTCAGCCAGGTGCCCCAAGAATCTTATTACATGTTTATGGGCCATTTGTGTTTCCAAGGTTCGTCCACGTGGAGAACGCATCAGGATTTCATTCTTTTGTATTGCTGTATGACATTGCACTACATTTTATTTATCCATTCATTGGTTGCTGGATATTTGAATTGTTTCCAGTTTTTGACTTTATGAATAATACTGCTATGAACATTCATGCACAAGTTTTTGTGTGGCATTTATTTCTCTTGAGCATATATCTTATGAATTGGACCCTGTTAAGTCACATGGTCACTCTACATTAAACCCCTAGAGAAACCGCAAGACTTTTCCACTGCAGCTACACATTTTGCATTCCTACCAGCAATGGATGAGGGTTCTGATTTCTCCACATTCTTGCCAACACTTGTATCATCTGTCTTCTTGAACACCGCCATTCCAGTGGGTGTGATGTGTGTCTCCTTGTGGTTTGATGTGCATTTCTCAGATGACGAATGACACTGAGCACTTTTCCATGTGTTTACTGAACACTTATAGAACTTTGGAGAAACCTGTATCTGAATACAGGTTGCCCATCTTGAAATTAGATCATTTGTCCTTTTCTTAGTAAGTTGTAAGAATCCTTTATATAGTTTGGATGTGAGTCCTTTACCAGATGAATGATTTGCAAATTTCCTCTCCCATTTAGTGGGCTGACTTTTTACATGGCTGATGGTATATTTGGAAGCACAAGAGTGTTTAATTTTGATGACATCTAACCCATCATCACAGCCAAGAAGCCTTTGCCTAATGCAGGGTTGCAAAGACTTACTCTTATATTTTCTCCTAAGGGTTTTATAGTCTTAGCTCTTACACGTAGGTTTTTGACTTTTTGGGGGCTAATTTTTGTGTATGGTGTGAGGAGGGGGTCCATCGTCACTTTTGTGTGTGTTTTTCTTCGGGTACGTATATCCAGTTTTCCTACCATCATTTGTTGAAGACTATTCTTTCCTTATAGAATTGTCTTGATGGCCTCATTGAA